GTTATTAGCATAATTCCTCAAACTGGGAATTTTGACTTCAATTCTGCTTAAGCATATGAAATTTTTAAGTACATTAAAATTTTAAGGACTCAAATCACCCTGAATAAAAACACAAATTAAAATTAGATGTCTAATCTAAGGACATACAATAATATATGTCAATAAAATACGCAACTTTTTAAAAAATCTATTTAAAAAATAGTGTCACTATTCTGCTGTTGTAAATGCTTTTCTGTCATATCAAGTCAGTGTATGCAGTTTAATTTGCTTTTGATTAGATATGCATTGTATGAGTCAGTGCAGATCTTAAAAATCTATTATAAAATACTGCAGTCAGGAGAACAATAGTTAATACAAAGCAGTTGACTCTTTCTGCTGATTGAGCTTGATTACTGCAGATGGCAACCACACATGCAGAGGAAGGAAATAAAACCCTTCAAGAGAACTCAGGGCTCTGTACGTCAAGGTACTGGCATAGAAGGTGATGTTTTTTCCTCAACAAATTTCCAAAAAGGAGCAAAACAAAGATAAATCCATAATGATGACATTTCTTTTTTTCTCTCTACATGTTTCAAGAAACTTTGCTTTAGTTTTCCTGGCTTGCTGGGCTGCAGTAGAGCGACTTGCATAATCAGAAAGGGGTTTTAGAGATAGGAAACAAGTATAACTCTGCTTGCTTTCTCTTTTATCAAAGATCCTCAACACATTTACAATGCCCTTCCCTGTTAAAAGAGTAAATTGTATTGTTGGAAACCTCTAGGTGTCAGTGAGAAACAGGCAAGGGCTCACCACAAAGGTCCCTGCCAGCAATAGGCAGCGTCTCAGTTTCCCAGGGATCACCTCCACCACTTGGAGGACTTAGACTCATCTAAAGAACATTAAAAACCCAGCTTGGGCAGTCAGGACCAACTGCCAGCTCCTGCAACTAGGATTTTGAATTCTGTGGGGTTATTAATCTCCATATTAGATGCTTTTCTTTGAAAATTTTTTTCTCCCCAACAAACATACACTACCAGAACAGCCTGCTATCTTTGTCCTCCACTTTTCTTTCTGTACTTTCTAAAAAACTTTATCATTAAGTCATATTCAGTCACACATTGAAAAGTGTATGTGTTTATTTGTATATCCCTCTTGAGATAGGGGTAAATGAAAGCAGATGATAAAAATAACTTGCCTCATACCACATCAGCAATAACCTACAATTGAGGCCCAGGAAATGGGCAGCAAATCTCTGTGGTCATCATGCTGGCCAAACACAGTAGGAACAAACAACAGTATGACTCTGCATGTGCAGCTTCAGTTTCACAAGATGACATGTGTGACATAGAGCTGCTGACAGATTTGAAGCACTCTAAACCTGTGTGTACATTATTTTCCTATCAGATGTGTAATTTACTTAATTACTGAAGCATATTTTATTACTTGGCATATAAAAAGCTCAGAAAACATGAACAGTAGCAAAATCAGGCCAAATGCATGGGAACTCAGCTCACTTGCCTAAACACTGATACCCATTGCAACTGGAGATGTACTGAGACATCTGCACAGGGCTGGCAGAACACAATCAGTAGGTGACCTGCATTCTCTAGAGGCCACAGCTGTTGGTCTGGAGAAGACCTGGACAGTCTCAAACAGCACCAGATGCCTGTGGTTAGGCATTAAAAATGAACCCTAAAAAGATACCATAGAAAAGTTTATAGACATACCTCCATGTAGCAGAATTTTCACACTTGATTTACTGCTGGTATTCTCTATAGTCAAAGAATGAGACTAGGAACCAATCTTAAATGGGACCTTTGAAAGTATATACTAACTTTTGATTGGAATAATTAGGTGCTGTATTCACAATAAATTGTCAATTGTACAAGCAGAACTTTTAAAGAGATATTTTACTCCAGCAGTTTTTCAGGTAACTGCCAAAACTTCCAGGTACCATGTCTGTAGCAGTGTGCTGCTCCTTACCTGAGCCCCAAAAATAGTTTGATGCCACAAAGGCTTTGACTGTTAATATTTTTTAATTTAGCTACATATTTTCCTACTGTTACATTTTAATAGTGAGCAAACTCTCTTGATCCAGTTGTTTGGAATCCTTGAAATCCTGATTTTGCAAGGCTGAAATAGCCATAGAGATCACAGTAATATATTCTATATTCTTTCCATTCAGAAAGGAAAATGAAATTGATATCAAAGGGTAGCAACAAGAAAAACAGTGTCTTCTGAAACTGCTATAAAAATACAAGACACTAAGGATTAAAAAGAAAATATTTTTAAAGACCTTAAGTCTTTTTATATCAGGTTTAATTTTATTTAAATTAAGCTTCAGAGAGTTCATTTTCTTTTCCAGTCTTTCCACACTGGTGCCATTTTGTAAATGAAGGCATTCACGGTGGAAAGACTAAATATTTTCTAATTATACTGCTATTAGTACTTAAAAATTATGTGGGATATTTCCTTGAGGCAGTTCATTGGGACACAGAGAGATGGGTTTGATTCTCCCCAAAAGAGAAAACCTTTAAAGATTATAATGGAACCTCTCACATTGGTCAAACAAGCCTAGAATATGGTCCAGATGAAAAATTTTAAATTTATTTCTGTTTCAATTGCAATGACAGTACCTTGAGAGTATTCAGATAGGGCTCTCATCAAATTTGGAATATTCCAGCAAAGGAATGGGATCCTGTATGCCTTCTTTTTCCCAGGAATAGCAGTTTGGTGCTATCTTACTCTATTTCTCTAATCATTGCACTGGGGACATGGATCTAAAGAATTCACTTGTCATCCATATTTTATGATGGAGGAGATCTCTGTCCTTTAATTATTTTTTCATAAACTCACTGTCCAGTGCAGAACTAAACCCCTTGTGGCATGACTGTGGTTAATCAGAAGTTGGTTATCGCTTTCCCCCAGGGCTCACTTAGTGTCACTCCTATACCTTCCATTTCCATTCCCCTTTTTAACCCAGATTCCCCAAGGACACAATACATTCTCATGGACAATCTTTTTGAAAACTTAGAAGAGGAGATAAAAGAAACAGGCATTGACCAGAGAATGAGATCACAAATAAACTGCTCTATAAATTCCAGGAAATGATATGGTAGAGCACACAAGTAAAAAGGTTTCAGAAACTTTTGTTTTTGATGGAAACTCAAAACTTTTCACAGAAGGTTAGCATTTTTTAAAACCAAAACCAAAATCAAAACCAAGCTACCAACTCCAAAACCTTTAATCAAAAATATCATTTTCTGTCAAAAAGAAAAGATTTAGCAGAAAGGGTAGCATTCACTTTAATTTGTTTCTTCTGCCCTAAGATTAGTCTTTATTGTCTAATGATGGAAATACAAGGATAAAGATATCTCTTTGTATTGATTCCTCCAAAAATATATGTTAAAATACTTCTGTCATGAAGAAGTGAGCTGTGGCTGGATTAGATGGATAAAAGCTCTCCCTTCACCTTTTGTCCCTTGTCCATGCATCAGCTCACCAGGTATTGCAGTGGTTTCTGCTACCAGGCTGTGACACTCACTGAGCAAATGAATGGTCTGGATGAAAAGTGTCTCAGGGGTTCTTACAACGAAGATTTATCAACTCTCCTACTGTTTGCAGGCAAGAGGGCAGCACATTTCTGCAACATCAAATCAATCTGTGAGTTACTGGATGAACTGGCAACTTTTGTCACAGACACAGTAAGGGAGCTCAACTCAGAGCTGAAGTTATGCAAAATTCACTTTATCTGAAATGTTACAAGATTCAGAACTGTAAGTAAATTCTGTATCTTCTGTTTCCTACTGAAGCTGAACACAGATTTTTAATGTCTTTAAAATAGTACAATCACCTGATAACTCTTCATTAATTTCTGATTACTATGTATTCCAATATCATGCCATAGCCCTAAAAAAAAAAAAAAAAAAATCACTAAGCTAGATATATCCTCGAGCTTTCTCTTTTTTAAAAAAATAATGCTGGTGTTTTAAGTAGAACATTTCAGACATACCTCCTCAATGGGTTACATTAACTCAAGCTCAGTATGGTTTCAACTGCCCCATGCATGCTTTTTTCTGTGGTGTAAAGATGTGCATGAGGCCTCTCAGAAGAATTGCTGCAATTATTTCCTCAGATCTTTGGCCACATTCCCATTTCAATCAAATTAGCAGCTGCTCCTCTTCATTCTTCTACCTCTACAAAAGCTGCTAAATTGTCTTGCTTCCAGATTCTTAGGTCAGTAAAAACAGAGAGAGACAGAAAAGAGGTGAGAAAAATAAACACAAAAAAATGAAAGGATCCCCTCTTAAAGATTCAGTCTGAGTATGTAAAAAGGATAAAACATTTAACTGGAAGTACAGAAATGGTCACTGGTTTTGTATGGCTTCTAAGGGATGACAACTACTCTTGTACTCCGATTCTGGAGCACTACTGACAAAGATTAGTGATGAGACCACAAGCCTGAGCAAGTACTGGCTCTCATTATCTAAAGCCCACATTGAAGGCATTAGGCTGACTAAAGCTTATGATGAGACTCATATAAAGCTAACAAGATTTATTTCTGGTTCATCCACTGACTTATTCCTTTGCACTCGATCCCACAAAGTACAAATTTGTCAGACTGTGCTCTTCAAGACACCTATTATTTCCTAGAAGAGCTGATGACTAAAACCACTTGCTACATCACCACTGCACCGTTGACAACTCTGAGGTTCATCTTGCTTAATTGGCATGTGTTCTTTAAGAAAACCACAATTCAGAGGGCCAAATTATCTGCTGCTGAATGCTAATGGCTCATTTGCAGCTGAGGCATGAGAAAATTCAAGCCTGCATTGCCTCTTAAACTTATTGCTAGAAAGAGGTTATGTGCCTGAGGCCCTGGAATGCAGGAAAATTTTCTTTTAATTACTAATTGCAGCAACAATTACCGATTGTGACTAAGGATATTAGACATTTTCCATAAGAAGGTGTCTTGTTTTAATTTGACAGGACCACAAGGAGGTATTTCTGTTTTAATTACAATTACACAAGACTTTAGCCACATAAACTGAGACCACATAGCCTAAGAAAAATAACATTACTCATGTAAAATTTCTGAAGATCCCTTATTTGAACTACTGAAAACACATTCACTTTAAGAGAAGAGGAGAAATACCAAATACTCTTAAATCCTAAACATAAATTACAGTACATAACATAAATTACACCACTTCCTGAAGAAGGCAGTAACACAAGAAACAAACAGGGAATCCATAAAGGGGCAAATTTTGTGTCCAGTTAAAATAGACAATCTCTCCAGCACTTCTCCAATTCTCTTGAATGAAACCAATCTAAATGCAAAGTGTTTAAATTAAGGTACTTTGATTCAAAAGGATGTCCTGCGTTCAGAGGCAGTCTATTGCATTCTTTGAAATAATGTCTCCTTCATAGCCTTAACTCCCATATGTTGGTCAGCATATAAATCTATACCTTAAATTGGGCTCGGAACAAATGTGGTTAACAAATATGGGTTGCTGCTAATATTTATATTAATCTCCTTAGCAGAAGGATATTCTGAGAAACATTTGAAATTTTCAAACTGTTGAAAGAGAGTATGACAAGAGATGAGTGTGTGTGGGAGAAAAATAGGTTCTTGAACCCATAATTGTGACTCCCACACTGTTTGTTGCAACTGTCTGTGGTGATAGCATTCATAGTACCTCATCCCTTCAAGGCCAACACCTCTTCAGTGTGGTTAAGTATTGAGCTTATTTTTTATTGCCACAAAAGAATACACTGTTTAAAGAATCTGGCTGAGTTTGTGGATTCAGAAAGCAAGCAAAATATTCAGGGGGCAGTGTGGTGGCAAAATCAATATACTGTTCATTTATGCTAATAAAGTCCCCTACAGTTCTACAATAAAGTGTGTGCCCATTTGCAGTCATGCTATTATTGACAGCCTAATTGTCAGTGAGCTCAGAAAAACCAAACAGGCCTGCAAAATGGCACAATTCATGTTGCTTACTAATAGAACACAATAGAAATTTGTACTTATTTATTGATGTTTAGCTGAAGAAGGCTTTGAGGATATTTCTTCTAGGTTTCATCCAGGTGATGAACCAATAGTATCAGGCAGTGGATGGCATCTCCCACTGACTTCCATGCAAGTATTTCTACTCAAGTTCCCTACAATGCAGGATGAGACCCACACTCCATTTTTTTGACCCACCAAAATAAAAATCCAGACAGAATGTACATAACCACTCAACAATCTTTCAGCAACAAACCAAGGTAACTATTGTGTCATTATGTGTGAAGTAACTACCAATTTAAAAACTAGCAATGCAAGGATAGTAAAGATATCAAACCAATACAATCTCCAAAAATAGTACAATACTTGACAAAATAGAGGTGATTACCCAGCTGTAGCACATATTTTTGACTAATTTAGTATTTGTATCTTAAACTATTTTATTTCTCCTAAGAAATGAAAATTGTATTAGTGTCAATACTGTATCTAACTAACTTGACAGAGGCACATAATATTGCATGCTACATACATTCCTTCACTTTAATTTGAAACTACCCGTCAGAGCTGCTTTTAGCTAATCTCATGTCTTTAATAACTAATTTAATACACAGCTATTTTATTATCCCTTTAGGAAAACAAATCAACTCCATTCTGGAAAAACAATTCTGATGTGATATTAAAAAACAATTAAATAAATCCTGTCAAAGATGTGAATAAAAATAGGATGAAGGTAGGACAGAGTATGGCTTAACAATTTCATTAATTTATCTTGTCCCTCCACTGCTCAGACACAGGCCATGACATTCACTTTTATAAATCCCATGTATGTGCAATGAGGACTTCTTTCCTGTGCCATGCACAGAAGAAAGGCTCTGTTTCTCTCTGACACAATGATGCACCTTTCCTCAGGTTCCTTACCAGATACACCTGCTAAGCCACACCTGTGTTGACATGCACAACAGGCAAACACTGCTGCAATAACAAATCAGCTGGCATTGAGGACAAGGCAGGAATCTGACAGTTTAAGCCCAAGCCAAGCTTTGCTCTGAAGACTGAATGCCAGGTCTTAGTGGCTGGAGTACAACCTAGAACACATCTTCCCAGTTCCACTCCAGAGAAAACCATTTCAGGTGCTGCAGTACTGTTCGTGGTACAAACCAAACAACAGCCAGTGGGGAAAATGTGGACATTCTCTTCAAAACAACTGAACTAAAATGTTAACATAGATATGCTCTGTGAAACTGTGCTTCGGGTCCAACAGAAGACCTACAGAAAAAGCAGATGAGATGGGCTGTCCCAAAGGAGAACAGCTATTCAGCAGGGATAGAGCAAGAGGGAGGTCTAGCTCAGGGGCATAAATTGGAATAGTCTGGCATGGGAGAATGGGCAGACAGATATCAGAAAGTATTTCTATGGGGCTACACAGCTCACAGTTTCTTCCTGATCCCCAGCAGAAGCATTCTTTCTGCTGAGGGGAACAGCCCTCCTAAAAGAAGCATGTTAAGCAAAATGAAACCCTCAAGCTTTACCTCTACAGACAGAGAAACCAAAAATGAAAAAGAAGAAATCTGATTTTCCTCTGCCTATACTCACACTTGCATTTCATAAAACCTTTTGACCATCTCTGCAGCTCAGAAGAGGTCA